GCGTGGATTTTTAAAGAAGTTTTTTTCCAGGGCTTGTCTAAGGCGTGGATATTTAAAGAAGTTTTTTTCCAGGGCTTGTCTAAGGCGTGGATATTTAAAGAAGTTTTTTTCCAGGGCTTGTCTAAGGCGTGGATTTTTAAAGAAGTTGTTTTCCAGGGCTTTTCTAAGGCGTGGATTTTTAAAGAAGTTGTTTTCCAGGGCTTTTCTAAGGCGTGGATTTTTAAAGAAGTTTTTTTCCAGGGCTTGCCTAAGGCGTGGATTTTTAAAGAAGTTTTTTTCCAGGGCTTGGATTTTTAAAGAAATTTTTTCCAGGGCTTGTCTAAGACTTGGATTTTTAAAGAAGTTTTTTCCAGGGCTTTTCCAGGGCTTGGATTTTTAAAGAAATTTTTTCCAGGGCTTGTCTAAGACTTGGATTTTTAAAGAAGTTTTTTCCAGGGCTTTTCTAAGGCGTGGATTTTTAAAGAAGTTTTTTCCAGGGCTTTTCTAAGGCGTGGATTTTTAAAGAAGTTTTTTCCAGGGCTTTTCTAAGGCGTGGATTTTTAAAGAAGTTTTTTCCAGGGCTTTTCTAAGGCGTGGATTTTTAAAGAAGTTTTTTCCAGGGCTTTTCTAAGGCGTGGATTTTTAAAGAAGTTTTTTCCAGGGCTTTTCTAAGGCGTGGATTTTTAAAGAAGTTTTTTTCAAGGGCTTGTCCAAGGCGTGGATTTTTAAAGAAGTTTTTTTCAAGGGCTTGTCCAAGTCGTGGATTTTCAAAGAAGTTTTTTTCAAGGGCTTGTCTAAGGCGTGGATTTTTAAAGAAGTTTTTTCCAGGGCTTGTCTAAGGCGTGGGTTTTTAAAGAAGTCTTTTTCCAGGGCTTGTCTAAGGCGTGGATTTTTAAAAAAGTTGTTTTTTCCAGGGCTTGTCTAAGGCGTGGATTTTTAAAGAAGTTTTTTTCCAGGGTTTGTCTAAGGCGTGGATTTTTAAAGAAGTCTTTTTCCAGGGCTTGTCTAAGGCGTGAATTTTTAAAAAAAATGTTTTTTCTAGGGCTTGTCTAAGGCGTGGATTTTCAAAGAAGTTTTTTTCCAGGGCTTGTCTATGGCGTCGATTTGTAAAGATTTTTTTCCAGGACTTGCCTAAGGCGTGGATTTTTAAAGAAGTTCTTTTTCCAGGGCTTGACTAAGGCGTGGATTTTTAAATAAGTTTTTTTCCAGGGCATGTCTAAGGCGTGGGTTTTTAAAGAAGTTTTTTTCCAGGGCTTTTCTAAGGCGTGGATTTTTAAAGAAGTTTTTTCCAGGGCTTTTCTAAGGCGTGGATTTTCAAAGAAGTTTTTTTCCAGGGCTTGTCTATGGCGTCGATTTTTAAAGATTTTTTTCCAGGACTTGCCTAAGGCGTGGATTTTTAAAGAAGTTTTTTTCCAGGGTTTGTCTAAGGCGTGGATTTTTAAAGAAGTCTTTTTCCAGGGCTTGTCTAAGGCGTGGATTTTTTTTGTCAAGAGTTTTTTTTTCCAGGGCTTGCCTAAGGCTTGGATTTTTAAAGAATTATTTTTCCAGGGCTTGACTAAGGCGTGGATTTTTAAATAAGTTTTTTTCCAGGGCTTGTCTAAGGCGTGGATTTTTAAAGATTTTTTTCCAGGACTTGCCTAAGGCGTGGATTTTTAAAGAAGTTCTTTTTCCAGGGCTTGACTAAGGCGTGGATTTTTAAATAAGTTTTTTTCCAGGGCATGTCTAAGGCGTGGGTTTTTAAAGAAGTTTTTTTCCAGGGCTTTTCTAAGGCGTGGATTTTTAAAGAAGTTTTTTCCAGGGCTTTTCTAAGGCGTGGATTTTTAAAGAAGTTTTTTTCCAGGGCTTTTCTAAGGCGTGGATTTTTAAAGAAGTTTTTTTTCCAGGGCTTTTCTAAGGCGTGGATTTTTAAAGAAGTTGTTTTCCAGGGCTTTTCTAAAGCGTGGATTTTTAAAGAAGTTTTTTTCCAGGGCTTTTCTAAGGCGTGGATTTTTAAAGAAGTTTTTTCCAGGGCTTTTCTAAGGCGTGGATTTTTAAAGAAGTTGTTTTCCAGGGCTTTTCTAAGGCGTGGATTTTTAAAGAAGTTTTTTTCCAGGGCTTGCCTAAGGCGTGGATTTTTAAAGAAGTTTTTTTCCAGGGCTTGGATTTTTAAAGAAATTTTTTCCAGGGCTTGTCTAAGACTTGGATTTTTAAAGAAGTTTTTTCCAGGGCTTTTCCAGGGCTTGGATTTTTAAAGAAATTTTTTCCAGGGCTTGTCTAAGACTTGGATTTTTAAAGAAGTTTTTTCCAGGGCTTTTCTAAGGCGTGGATTTTTAAAGAAGTTTTTTCCAGGGCTTTTCTAAGGCGTGGATTTTTAAAGAAGTTTTTTCCAGGGCTTTTCTAAGGCGTGGATTTTTAAAGAAGTTTTTTCCAGGGCTTTTCTAAGGCGTGGATTTTTAAAGAAGTTTTTTCCAGGGCTTTTCTAAGGCGTGGATTTTTAAAGAAGTTTTTTCCATGGCTTTTCTAAGGCGTGGATTTTTAAAGAAGTTTTTTTCAAGGGCTTGTCCAAGGCGTGGATTTTTAAAGAAGTTTTTTTCAAGGGCTTGTCCAAGTCGTGGATTTTCAAAGAAGTTTTTTTCAAGGGCTTGTCTAAGGCGTGGATTTTTAAAGAAGTTTTTTCCAGGGCTTGTCTAAGGCGTGGGTTTTTAAAGAAGTTTTTTTCCAGGGCTTGTCTAAGGCGTGGATTTTTAAAGAAGTTTTTTTCCAGGGCTTGTCTAAGGCGTGGATTTTTAAAAAAGTTGTTTTTTCCAGGGCTTGTCTAAGGCGTGGATTTTTAAAGAAGTTTTTTTCCAGGGTTTGTCTAAGGCGTGGATTTTTAAAGAAGTCTTTTTCCAGGGCTTGTCTAAGGCGTAGATTTTTAAAAAAGTTGTTTTTTCCAGGGCTTGTCTAAGGCGTGGATTTTCAAAGAAGTTTTTTTCCAGGGCTTGTCTATGGCGTCGATTTTTAAAGAAGTTTTTTTCCAGGGCTTGTCTATGGCGTCGATTTTTAAAGATGTTTTTTTCCAGGGCTTGTCTAAGGCGTGGATTTTCAAAGAAGTCTTTTTCTAAGGCTTGTCTAAGGCGTGGATTTTTAAAGAAGTTTTTTTCCAGGGCTTGTGTTGGTGTTTATGTTTAAAGCATAGCTTTATTGGAAACTTCAGGGCTTGTGTTGATGTTCATGTTTAAAGGATAGCTTTATTGGAACCTTCAGGGCTTGTGTTGGTGTTTATGTTTAAAGCATAGCTTTATTGGAACCTTCAGGGCTTGTGTTGATGTTTATGTTTAAAGGATAGCTTTATTGGAACCTTCAGGGCTTGTGTTGGTGTTTATGTTTAAAGCATAGCTTTATTGGAACCTTCAGGGCTCTGGGAGAGGATTTTTAAAGAATGATGGAGTTTTAAAGGATAGCTTTGAGCTTCTTGGGCACTTTGGTAGTCCGAGGAATTGATATTGAAAACATAGCTTTTTGGGAATTTTTGAAGCCCTAGGAGTAGATTTTTAAATCATAGATTCTTGGGGGCTTTGCAAGCTTTAGGCGTGGATATTAAATCATAGATTCTTGGGGACTTTCGCAGATATATGCGTGGATCTTTCGATGACCTATGTGTGGATTTGGAACTTTTGGGTGGAATTTTAAAGCAAAGATTCTTGGGGACTTTCGAAAATATATGCGTGGATTTTAAAACATTGCCGTTTGGGATCTTTCGATGACCTATGCGTGGATTTGGGACTTTCGCGTGGACTTTTAAATCATTGCCTCTTCCAGATTTTCGAAGTCCTATTCATTTTTTAAGCTTTTTGGGGATTTCCGAAGAGCTAGGCTTGGATTTTAAAGCATAGATTTTTAAAGCTTATTGGGGATTTTCGAAAAGCTTACTTACTTACTTAGCTGGCTTGTGACAGAACTTTCGTTCCATAAGCCGAGCTTAGAAAGTTTTTCCAATTTGAAAGACCATTTTCGGCAATGTTGTCTTCGACTTGATGTTTTCATCGTATTCGTGGCCTTCCCCTTCTGCGCGAACCATCAGCTGGTTCGCTTTTATATGCCTTCTGGGCTGGGGAATCGTCATTCATCCACAATATGACCTAGCCAACGCAGTCGCTGCAGCTCAAAACGTCTAACAATGTCGATGTCCGAGAATAGCTGGTACAACTCATAGTTCATTCGACGGCGATATTCACCGTCAACGCAGATCGGCCCATAGATCTTTCGGGGAATTTTTCTCTCAAACACTGCAAGAGCTGCCTTATATGCTTGCGTAAGTTCCCATGCGTCAGATCCATAAACCAGCACGGGTAGTATCACCGTCTTATAGAGTGTGAGTTTGGTCTGGCGGGAGAACTAGGCTTGGATTTTTAAAGTATAGCCTCCTGGGAGCTTTCAAAAATCTAGGCGTTCATTTTTATAGCATAGCCTCTTGGAATATTTCGAAGACCTAAGTGTGGATTTTAAAAGCGTAGTATCTGAGCTTTGTAATACCTAGGCATAATTTCTCTAAACAAAGCTTCATGGGAGCCATATGCGTATTTTTTTAAAGAAAACTTCTGGGGAAGTTTCGGAACCCTCGGTGCAGATACATTGAAGACTATATGACTGCCTGAAAGGTTTGTAAGAAACTGTATTTTTATTTTCCCTTAGTCAATATTTCATTGTGAGTTGGTGGATGAATAAGTTTTGCGATTGCACCAGACAACTATCAACCCCACCAAAATGCGGGTCATTGTATTGAAAACTGGGGAAACCAAAGTAATTTGCCACTTTGTTTCGTTAGTTTTTTGTGAAATTGCCTGAATTTGATGGCATTGAAGGTTTTCTTTTTCTGCGAATGCGCCACAAGTATTGGCAACATTAAAAAGTCGATTTGCTTTTGTGTGCGACTTTCGTATTTTACCGCTTTTTTTCATGTTCGGCGAACACAAAATAACAGCTTAATAGCTGATTGGACTCCCTTTTCCTTTTGAGATGTTTTTAACTTTCGTTTTTTTCTCATTTTCCCTTTTTTACAGCCTCTACTGTTATGCCCAGAAGCACGTAAAATCGATTAAAGCCGTTACCCGGCCAGGTGAGGTGGCCGAAAAGCAACGTTACAAAAGTATACGACGAACCAAACCACCAGAGAAGAAAAAATTCAAAGTCCGCAATCTAAATCATAGCTCACCCTATCATGTTTCGGATCACAAGGCAGCCGTTACAGTGGGCGTGATAATGGGTGTGTTCCTTATATGTTGGGTGCCGTTCTTTTGTGTGAACATTGTGGCCGCATTCTGTAAAACCTGTATAGGCGGTCAAACCTTTAAAATACTCTCATGGCTGGGTTACTCCAATTCGGCCTTTAATCCCATCATCTATTCCATATTCAACAAAGAGTTTCGTGATGCATTCAAGCGAATTTTGACAACACGAAATCCGTGGTGTTGCAATCAGGACATCGGCAATATACATCCACGTAACAGTGATCGTTTTGTTACGGATTATGCGGCAAAACATGTTGTCGCCATGCATTCGGGCCGTTCGTCGGCGGAATTGGAACAGGTATCTGCAATATGACCAAAACGCAATAGCAGCAATACCAGTCACGAGTATGGCACAACATTGGCATGTTGCGTATCGCGAGCATCGGATGCTGCGTCGCTGACCATAACACCATATGGACCCTGAGATTCGGTGACAGTGGCATCTGCAACAATTGTGGTAGAGTCACTGGATGGCAGTAATAAATATGGTGATAATAAACAAATGGAAACAGTATTGGTTTAAAAAAAGAGAAGAGAAGTGTATACACGAAAAAATTAAGAATAAGAAACGACAACTACAGCAACAACAAAATGGAAACAGAAAGGGAAACGGAAAAAGACAGGATATCATAACAACAACAACAGAGCAATAGCAACATAATCATCCATTCAGCATATCATCACTAACCTCTATATCATCATCAAAAAAGCATCCTCATCATCGTCATCATCATCATTAGGCGTCGTCATGGTTTTCACAACAGCAACAACAACTACAACTACAACCACGTTAAGTAACTGGATTACAGGGTGAGCGTTAAACAAATCATTTCTATACATTATATAATACATATATACAGTAAGTAGCTAATTTATTACAAACAAAAAAGGAAAACTTATTTATGCAAAACCATTGGAAGAACAAGAAAATCGTAGAAAATATTTTTAAGCAAACTAAGTGTAAGAATGAAAAAACGAACTTGTCCATATCCTTGATAACCTTAAACTAATATTCCAATTTTCCTATTCTAATATTGAATTAAAAAAAATACTGAAAATCTTTCTTTCTCCTCCCCTCTATGTTAAGTTCCTATTAATCTAAAAACCAAACCAAAGAGAAAGAAAAAAATAGCAATACTCAATTAATGTTAGCTTTAATCTAAGTATAGTGTTGTCCTTCTGATGTAAATGGCTTAAGGAACAAAACAGAATAACCAATGAATGGAATGGAACCAAAGTCATTCCATCTACAGATAATTGTATATAAAAGCAATGTAAGATAATTTATTTATTTGTATTTATGTACATCATGGATGTATGTATGTGTGTATGTTTAGTGTTGCAACATTTTGTACTGTTACATGTTTTTATTTATTAAGGTAACTTATTTAATATTCAGATATGTATTAATTTCATATGACAGATATCTGTTATGTCCGATGGTAGAGTCTGTTTTTTTCGTCCAGTTGTCTTTCCACATCCATACTCTGACAGTTTCGTGTTCATACTCTAAAGCTGGTCATATATTCTTTTTGGTGAATTGCTTTAGGCAAGTGGTAGAAAATCACTTCCAACAAGTCAAAACTAACTCCCTTCTTACATTTAAGTTAATATTGGGAGATTTATTCATACTTTCTATACTAAATTTCGGATTTCTTTATGTCACGGCAAATGTTGTTCTCTAACATTCGACATTACAATGTACATATTTACTCCGAAGGGTATATAACGCAGAAGTTGACAGTATATAGAAGAATACAGGTTCTAGAGAAGATACCAGCATATGAAAGAAGATTATTTAACTATAAATTAATTTCAAATATCATGATGTATATGAGGCGCAAATAAGGGACAAGTGTCGCTACACAGAATCGGGATTTAGCTCTTTAACTTAAATTTAAATTCGTTGTTATATTATATTTGGCCCAAACATTTTAGTAGAGGCTAACAAAGAATATTCCAATATTGGGAATGTTTCCCCGTGTGTCTGGTCGGCTGTATAATTCTTTCCAGTTCCACCGTTCAAAAAATTATCAATAATTTTTGGACTCTCATATTTAAAGTTTGTTAATGAAAATTACCATTGATTTTTGACTCGTGAAACGCCTGGGGCGTTCACTGCGTTTACCGTCTTCACCACGTCGGAATTCATGATGCAGTGCCATATTTTTATACCCAACACAAATATGTTGTCAGGGTATTATAGCTTTGTGCAGCCCCAAGAGTTTGTAACGCCGCGAAATATTGGACCTAGAACCACCTTTAAGTATTACGATCGTCATATCTCGACTAGCTAAGTCGATCTAGACATGTGTGCTCGTCCGTCCATCTGTTCATTATAATTTGTAAACACGATACAGGCCACAGTTATGGACCAATCTTCACGAAATTTTGCATGTAGGATGGGTTCTGGCCAGTGAAGATCCCTATTGTTTTTGGTAAAGATCGGTTAATATTAAGGGGATGAAATGGACCAAATACTTAATTTTTGTCGGTTATTCTGGTCGCTCCAGAGGCCGCAATTATGGCCCAAACATCTCGAATTTTTACATGGAGAAAGGGATCCGACCATAGAATAAGCATATTTTTTTTTGATAAAGATGGGTCAATATTTAGCGGGTCAATATATATATTTACTCCTGAAGGACATATACCCGAGATGTTGATAGTATATCCAAGAGGAGTGGTTAAACGTTAAATTGATACCAATCATATTGTCGTAGGTACTCGGATGCGGGAGTTACACTTAAATATTTACAGGTGCTTACGTATTCATATATTATTTAGTAACCTATATGATCGCTTTGAAATGTTCCATGAGGTTCCAGTTATGGTCAAGGACAACGCCTATAATTTTCGGTGACGATCAGATAATAATTTTTCGGATGAAGTGGACCGAAAACTTAATTATTTGTACTTTTCGAGTCGGAAGCCGAACAACACAACACAACCCACGGTTTATATTATTTTATTAAACAATGCACCATAGTATAGAGATCGTATAAATTGTGTCATTCCGTTTATAATATATTGTAAGCAATTATAAAAATTCAAAGAAAGAGACACATCGACTCTATTAACTTTTACATCCAATTTGAAACCAAACAGCCATCTGTAACTATAGATAAAATTCAAAAAATAAGGGTACATGTCGGCTCTGCTAATGCCTAATACTGTATTTGAGACCCAATTGCTCTCTGTTAATTATCACAATAATTTCAATCAGCAGACTTGTCGACACTCCTAATGGTTAATACTATGTCTGCTATTTCTCACAATAAATCCAATAAGGAGGATAGAGTAGAGATTAATGGGTCTTCTTTAAAAAATAATTATAAAATAATCAACTGATTTATTGAAGCTATACATTGTCGGCATTTCAACTGAATTGACTGTAATTATACCAGAAAAGGCTATGTTGTAAGGGTATCAAGCTTTGTGTGGCCTTTAGAGTTTGTAACGCCGCAAAATATTGGTCCTTGCAATAGATGGTTTAGACCACTCGTAACGACATTTTGAATGTAGGTCCGGTTTTGGCCAATGAAGATCCCTATGATCGGTTAATATTTAGAATAAGCGCGACATGATCGTTCATTATTTAGCGGGTCTAATGTACCAGACTCTTTTTGAAAAAATTACAAAATTTGTATCCTATGGTGTATATATTTACAGACCAAAGATGTTGATGGTGTATCCAAGAGGAATGGTTGAGCTTTAAATTGATACAAATTTAATTGTTGCTAAACATACCCTATAAACATACCTACTCGTATGTGGTAGTTTTTCGTAAATACCTGCAGGTGTTTTCGTATTCTGATATTGTTAAGTATTACCATTATTAGGGGCATTAATTTCGGGCTGATGGCTAGGAAACTTTACATGAGGTTCCGGTTATGGTCAAGGACGCCACCTATAATTTTCGATGATGATGAGATGATACTTCGGGGATGAAATGGATAGAAACAATTTTTTGTCTAGTCGCTCTAGAAGCCACAATTACACGCCGAACACGACAAATTTTTGATGTGGAAGACAATCTGACCAACTAACTTAAATTACTGCCTTGGTAATGAACGGTCAGTATTTAGCGGGTGTAATGCACAAACACTTTTTATGTAAGGTAACAAAAGTTAAATCTTATGGAGAAAGTTTTTACTCCTGGAAAACAACATTCGAAAGAGCTACCGCAGAAGATCTGTGGACATCTTATCGGCCAAAAAAGTGCAAATTTTCTCGAAACATTGCCCAAGATCTGCAGAAACTAAGAGCTTAGTGATTGTTGTAACATATGGACCGACAATACTGTTCTAATCTCTCGATTTATAATTCGAATTCTCATTGAGTGAAAAATAATCGTACCAAGAACTATCACTGTCCGTTCATGTTTCGGTATAGATTTCATATAACGATGCCTTCCGACTCTTGTTATTATGAGAATTTTGCGCAAATTGGATGAATATAAAAAAAAATCAAACTTTGCACAACCTATTATCTTTACTAAGACTAGAACAAGTCCGATGATGAGGTTCACTCTTTGTAGTACCTCCTCCACAAATGGTTAAAATGTTCAATATTTGTAAATCCAATACCACGCGAAAGAAATGTCTGTTTAACAACCTTTCGGTAAAATTTAGTTAGTATTTCTTGTGCGATGGTGATTACAGACTTGTCGACACTCCTAATGGTTAATACTATGTCTGCTAATTCTCACAATAAATCCAATAAGGAGGATAGAGTAGAGATTAATGGGTCTTCTTTAAAAAATAATTATAAAATAATCAACTGATTTATTGAAGCTATACTTTGTCGGCATTTCAACTGAATTGAATGTAATTATACCAGAAAAGGCTATGTTGTAAGGGTATCAAGCTTTGTGTGGCCTTTAGAGTTTGTAACGCCGCAAAATATTGGTCCTTGCAATAGATGGTTTAGACCAATCGTAACGACATTTTGAATGTAGGTCCGGTTTTGGCCAATGAAGATCCCTATGATCGGTTAATATTTAGAATAAGCGCGACATGATCGTTCATTATTTAGCGGGTCTAATATACCAGACTCTTTTTGAAAAAATTACAAAATTTGTATCCTATGGTGTATATATTTACAGACCAAAGATGTTGATGGTGTATCCAAGAGGAATGGTTGAGCTTTAAATTGATACAAATGATATGGTGATTACAGTAAAGTAATGGAAATATCCAAAAGGTCACCAGAGTCAATGAAATCCAATTACTCTATCTCGCATAAATTTAGAACATATATTTTTAGTTAAAAAAGCAAAAAATTTGATTTCTTCTTCATGGTGGATCGGTCGATTTATATGTTATTTAAAATTTTTAATATTTCGGTTTTAAATTTGTTGGAGGTGAGATTTTTTTTATACAATTGTCTAAATAAATACATTCAAGTATTAAATAAGCTTTAACAATATTTTACAATGCCGCTATGGTTTTCACAATTCCGATTGTCCATTCCTTAAAATAATTGTATTTTTTGTCAAAAAAAAAAAAACTTTTTCATATATTTCC